ATATAATCAGGAGAAATTGTATGTATCTGGCTGGTTCCATTCACTTTCCCTACTATTCATTTTAAATTGTAGCTCAAATTCTTGGTGTGTTTTGTTTCAAATTTATTTAAAGCTTAAAACTTTTTGAGGTTGAGAAGTATTGCCTTAGATCCATGAAACTTATGTTCCATTTGGCGAAAAGGAACCATCATTTTAGGGTTTTCCATGTGATTCTTGAGGTTTGGGATGTCTGGACTGTTTTGTTTCTTATATATGTTAATCATTAAGGATCACGTTTTCTTTCCCCTGATTGAAATCTTTTGGATAAGCTTTGACTTTGTCTCTGTCTTTGTCTTCTTCTTCTTTCACTTTTTCTGTCTATATAAGGGTTGGTGGTGGAGATGTGAGTTTGTGTATGCTTGGTTTGATTCTCATCTGTAAGGGAATTGACGTTTTCCTAGTTCAAGGTATATAGTATAGAAAAGCACAGAACTCAAGCTCTGCTTTCTCTTATGTTCTAACAGTTTAGATCCATATATGCCGTCTCAAGATAACCTGATTTTTTGTTTTCTTTATTTTAAGATTTTATTTTCACCATTAAAAATTGGGGGAATTGATGGAAGAGGATATCTCCAGCAGTTGTCGTTACAGTCCGATTAAGTAACACAATTGTTGATAGCCCCACAAACCATGTGGAAATAACTAGACTCAAAATTGTGACTGATGGAAGTAGTTGCAATGGTGTGAATGTTAATGTTAATAGTAGAGATTCCTTAGTAGTAGGAGGAGGATCTTTGGCTGATAATCACTTGCCTTCTGTCTTGAAACTTGGGAAAATCCTAACCATTTAAGAGACAAATGAAATTAATGGTGAGGAGTTGACATCAGATATGAGATTGCCTATTGCTGTTGAGTTTGAAGGCATTGATAATGGCGAAATTGTTGCTAAGGTAATCAGCTTGGAGAAACAGGGCATTTCTTCGGGTCCCACTATGATAAAAGCGTTTGTAGTGGCTCTTCCTTTGTCCGGCGAGAAGGATCATGGGAAAAGGTGTAGCGTGAAGAGTGTGTATGAGCTGGATTGTGTACCAATTTGGGGGCGTGTTTCTATATGTGGAAAGAGACAAGAAATGGAAGATGCTACAACGGCAGTTCCAAACTTTATGAGGATTCCTATTAAGATGTTTATTGGGGATCATGTGATGGATGGATTCAGCCAAACTTTGAGTCACCTTACTTCTCATTTTTTTGGAGTTTATGATGGTCATGGAGGATCCCAGGTTTGCCTCTTTTTACAATGCCCCGAATTTGTAGCATTAACTAGATTATTCTGCTTATTAGCAGAATAAGTAATCATTGATGACTTACTTATTTGGTTGGTATTAATTTCACGGAGCGTTTTGTCTTCTTTTATGGACTTGACTAATTAGGTTTCTTGCAGGTAGCCAACTACTGCCAAGAACGAATCCATTTGGCTTTAGCAGAAGAGTTGAAATTTTGCAAAGATGATCCCATATGTTGTGATATTAATGTGAGGGATGTTAGGCAATTGCTGTGGGAGAGAGTCTTCAAAAGCTGCTTTCTGAAGGTTGATGATGAAGTTGGGGGAAAAGTGAGGTCGGGAGATGACACGAGTGCTCCTAAATGTACATCTGGCACTATTACCCCTGAAACTGCCGGGTCCACGGCTGTGGTTGCAGTGATTTCTTCTTCACATATTGTAGTTGCAAATTGTGGGGATTCAAGAGCCGTCCTCTATCGTGGTAAAGAAGCTATGGCTTTGTCAATTGATCACAAAGTAAGAGGTTTTGTCACCTGAATAGTGCAATTATATACTTTGCCACTGTGTTTACTTATGAATAAATGACAAATCGATTCATCCATTCATCATCATTACCCCAGTGCCTCAAAGGCTCTCACCTACGGTGAAAATCGCGTCAAAAATTGCATGGACTAACTGCTACTTCATAAAAAAAAGCGCAGACAGTTTAGTGAGCCATTTTGTTTTATTCCATTATATTTCCAAGCCAAAAAATAGTGAATCTTTGGATCCGTTGCAAATGATGGAAAATTATGAATAAATGACAAATATATGACTAAAATAAAACCCAGAAACAAAAATATGACTTTTAATAAGAATGACCATAGTGGTATTTTCACGATGACTAGCATGTTGACCGATGTTTAATTCTCACTGTTAGTGAGCATAATGGTATTAATCGTCACTGAAAATTTAATGTCAGTGGCCCCGACAACTCTTGATTAAGGTGCTCATGATGTCTAGTATTGTTTTTTCAGCCAAATCGCAAAGATGAGTATACAAGAATTGAAGCTTCGGGGGGCAAGGTCATACAGTGGAATGGCCATCGTGTTTTTGGTGTCCTCGCAATGTCAAGGGCTATTGGTAGGTAGACATTCAAGCAACTCTGTCTTAATGGTCTGTTTGGAACATAGAAAGTACCAGAGAAAGAAGATGGGGAGGAAAAATGAAAGGAAATAAAGTTTTGGGGAATATGAGATGGGCTTGACACTCAAATTATATATTTTAGATATTTATTCAAAGTCAAATTATTTATTTATAGCTATAACAGAAAAATAAAAATCTAGTTTTAGTTAAAAGAGAACCTAAAAGTTAATCATAGTTCGTTTTCTTTTGCATCTAAGAAGCAAGAATAATATTACAATAACACTTCCCACCTTTCCCACAGCATTTTTCGGGATCCAAACATAACCGAAACGGTTCTAATAATGTTCTATTAATATCTTATGAATGCTTATGTGGATTTTATGGTTTTTTAATTACTATGCTTTCCCACTAGGCACTAGCACAGTTTTCCAGTGTCGTCCATCTTTTACTTAAACCAAGAGTGAAGGGTTGTTTGGTAAGAATTATATGGCTGAAAGTAATAATGTTGGGTCAGTTCTTTTTCAGACAAACAGAAAAGTCAAAAGCTGCTTATTCTGGTGATGAGCAGAATAAGCTGACAATGGCTACTGAGCAGAGCCTAATGCCTGCAATTTTAATGCTTATCGACCATTTATCCTCAGGTGACAGATACTTGAAACCATGGATTATACCAGAACCAGAAGTAATGTTCATTCCCCGTGCCAGAGAAGACGAATGCCTTGTTTTGGCCAGTGATGGTTTGTGGGATGTGATGACAAACGAGGAAGCTTGTGAAGCCGCCAGAAAGAAGATTCTAATATGGCACAAAAAGAACGGGGCAACTCCTTCCCAGAGGGGCACTGGATCTGACCCTGCTGCACAAGCTGCAGCGGATTACCTCTCCATGTTTGCCCTCCAAAGGGGAAGCAGAGATAACATATCTGTCATTGTTGTGGACTTGAAAGCGCAAAGGAAGTTCAAGACCAAATCTTAGATGAAGTACAATTCATCATCACCTCTAGTATAATTCATGTAAGGCATGAAGTACATTGTCATGATTATTACATAATTTTGGTCCATTTCTTTTTTCATATGGGCTTAAAGTGTGTGTGTATGGCAATAGTGTCGAGTACATTTATCTGTAGAAACACTTGACAAATAACTTTTTTTCTTTCGGATGCTGGCATATAGTTATGTATAAATATAATGCGTACTTTATATGTAGAAATATGGAGGTGTAAATACTTATATCACATAATGGAAACTTTGCCAATCAAAATTTGGGAGTCTCTTTAAAGAAAACATTCCACTTTTGGTGTCTCTCTCAATGTTTTCACTTTAGATCCATGGTATGGCTTTCTTGTCAATTTTTTTGTCACTGATCATTCCTTTAGCAAAAATCGACAGGAAGTTGTAAAATTGGCTGTACAATCGGTCAATTGGTTGGGAAGATCAAGTCACAAGAAATCCATAGTATGTGCACTATTTTGGCAATATTGCAAGTTTGTGCTGTTGCGCAAATGGATAAAAGAATTCCTACTCGCATTCTACTATTCTAGTTCGAGTTGACTAAATCAAAATTGAACATTAAAGTCTTGGGTCGGTGGGGGTCGGTGTTCCTTCTTTAGCCTATATAGTCTTAGTTTAATACTGCCTCCGGTCCCAAATGAAATTCACATTTTGACTTCACACAAATTAAGAAAATAAATTTGACTTTACTGTAGAGTACACTGTTGTGACACTGTTTGGCACTGTTTTGCACTGTTTTGATGTAGATAATTTACCAAATAAGGAAGGGAGAAGAAGTGTGAAGTTTATTTTGGACATACCCAAAAAGAAAAGTGTGAATTTCATTTGGAACCGGAGGGAGTAGTTTAAAATTTTCAGGTTACCTATTAGTTATCTTAAAGTGTTTTTCGTTATGAGTTTTAGATAGTTAAAAAACCTCACACAATACTAACTCCGGATTTAGATTTTAGGAATCCCAACGCTACTTCCATCTATCCAAATACTTTGGGCCAAAGTAAGAACTATGTTTTTTACTAACACCTGAAACATTAAAGATAACTAATAGGTAACCTGAAAATTAAGATTTTTAGCAATGCTTCATTTAATTTATTGCTATTTATAAAAAAAACTAATCATGTTACATTTTTTGGAGGAAAACAAGTTAAACATTATTGATGAAATCATAATCCAAGGAAGTCGTAATACAAGATGGATAATTATAAAGCCAAACACGGCAATCACATAATGAAACAACAACATTTGTTAGATCGATTCACGAAAAAGAAATACTAATAAAACTAATTCAGATTTCTCTTATATATTAAAGCCAAAGACGAGTCATCGACACTAGAAGTAATGCTTTTAACAACTTACAAAGTATCAGCCTCAACACCAGCATCAACCTCAACACCAATATTATCACAACCTTTCTACTTCAACCAACTTGGCACCTCCGTGATGGAAAGAGCCTCGGCTGCCTTTGGTCTGCCTTTGGGGTACCTCCGGTAACCAAGGATCCTTCCAAATATACACCGACTAATATTGTTACTATTTACTAATTTATTCAAAGTAATTTCATGTATGACATCATCCTAGATTAGTTAAATATTACGTAAATACGTAGCAAAAGAAACCTCAAATTTAGCTAATAAAATGGTTTCCTTCTCAAAGGATTTCCGTCCATGAATATGACTTGGTGCCTCTTTTGATTGAAGACCAACACAACATATTTAGAAAAATAACCATAATTATATGTACTATGTAGAGTACAAGCTGCTCATTACATATAGGCAAAAATGTCAAACAAAAAGGGCTGAAACGACTGCATGGTTGGTTTTAGACTTTTAGGATACACAAAACATTCAACCACGCGCCTTTTTTCGCTTTTTCTGAGTTGTTGCAAATTTCAGAGGAAGAGGAAGTGTGACTACAGGAACTTTGTTGTCACGGATATATTTGCAACCCAGTAACTCAAAACGAGGCCTTAACTGTGCCTTGGACATCCTGAGGTCTTTGGCTATGTCGAACGGATCAGTTCGGAAGTTGTCAACGTAGAGAGTAAGAACAAGTACATAACTGATGAGGAGATCAATTTTTTCAGCAGGAAGTCTCTTCGATTCTGAAACACCAAACATTGAAGAGAATTTTTGGAACAACATGCCAGGAATTTTGTGACTCTTTGCAGATGAAAAACCTTCTAGAGAGTGTTTGTCCTTGTACTTGACAAGATGTGTGATGTATGAAAAGATTCCAGCCAGCTCCTGCCTCTTTGTATGGTCCTGTAAAATTTTAGAGAGCGGAAAAGATGAGATTGAGTTAAATAAGGAAGAGACAAATGGCACTTCTCTATTGTTTGCTAACCAAAGATGTGGGAAGAAGAGATTCTTTTTATTACATTCCATAGAGAAATAAGGAGCATTTTTGTATTTTTAATAATTACATAGATCGTTTTCTTTTCTATTTCATTGATTTCGTTCCTAACAAACAAATGCACAAAACCCAACCTAACCTATTTTTCTCTTTTTCCTCTTTCTCACACATTTTTCTCTTCTCTGTTTCTTACCTAAACCAAAGGGATAATGGATGGTTACCGTGGAAATAATGTTGGATTGCATAATTCAGATAAACATTATCATTTGTTTACAAATTACAAGCCAGGTTTGTCTACAAGTAAGTTAATTCAAAAAACTAAAGTACTAAGCATTTTAGCAGCTCAGGTTACTCTTAGTAACTCAGTTTTAGTTAAATGAGAAGGAATCTATACTAATATAAAAAGGGAATCCTATGAGGAATAACTGTTCCCGTCAGACATCATACAGAAACCATGGGGTGTCATTATTTTACCAAACGTTGTGAATTTGTGATTAAAAGAAATGAAAAATACAATAAAACTGCCCTACACAATTGTATGGACTTCTGCTTCATAATAAACCGTGAAAAATATGTAGTAACTGCCTTTCCCCATGCATCTTCCATATACAAAAATGAGGCAGTTAAGAATCCTGAAAATTCACTCTGTATTTCTACAGTTACAAGTGCAAGACTACACTCCTATATACGGAGTATATTATTAGTGATCTAGGATCTCAGTTGTTCAAGAATTGAAGCCAACTTGCACAGCAATTTGAAGTGATATATTTGAAAAATGTATCATTCATATATGCACTTATTATAAGCTTGTTTTGTATGAAGCTAAAGTCATGTTGTTTAACAAGAATAGTTGTTGGAAATAATAAAGCACGAAGTGGCCGGTGTGAAGGTAAGGTAAGTTATGTATTGTAGATGTGTATCCTCAAAATACCAATTCGAGAACCATGCTAACAGTTGTGTACTGCAGTTGAAACCACACATTCGAAGAGGTAAGTTGGGTTTTACATTTACTGATGCCATCAGTTGGATTTTACATGATGAAGAGGCAAGTGCATATGAAAAGGCAAGTACATATGAAAACACACATTTGTTTCAAATGTACGTCAATAATTATATACTACGTATATTTGATAATTTCCTCTTTCTAGGCCTAATTTTTTCAGATTTTAGGATGTGCTATTTCATGTTTACAACATGTTGCTTATTATGTGAAATGCAAGATTATTTAATTATTTTTTCCAAAACACAAATTCCACACATACGGAGTAAAAATAAGAGTATAACTGAAATAAGTTAACAATTTCGTTATGCGGTTTTAAAGGGTGAAGAATTCTACATTTCTACCCATGAAACCATAACAAAAAGATAAAATAATTAAAACTCTAAGCACAAATACTCAACATATCAAATTAAAACTCTAAGCACAAATACTCGACATATCAAACCACTGCGACATAATTAAAGTTTGTAAATAAATTTTTTTGTTATGTAAACAACATTTTTTGCACATTATTTAAAATTTAAATAATACATTGGCAAAAGAAAGATATATGAACGAAAGAAACATATATAAACAATAAGCAAGTGACACCAAAAGAACAAAGGATAGAAAAAATTAAACATAGTACTCCGTATAATACTTGCATAATAAACATCATGATACATACGCACACATTCGGTCATATCTAATTGCATTCAAGTAGTATTTTTGAACTAAATTAAATAGCATATATGCCTGGGATATTTTCATACCGTTCATAACATTTATTTATTAGCTGCTTTGTTTGACATTCATCATGCTAGCTACTTTTATAATTACAATAAGAGTAATTAAATGGACAGACTCCATGATTATACAACACCATTCAGCAACATTTCTTAAATGCAGAGTGTAAATTACAAACACCTAATCTTCACAGAATCAGCTTAAAACACGACTGAGATGATTAAAAATGAACCTCGACATCTAGATACTGTTATATTTCACTCATTGATATTGTTATATTTTTATATCCACTTTTAGATAATCAAATTTACATAAATAAATTAAAACACATTATTGTCCCGTGCATTGCACGGGTACAATACTAGTTATAATAACAATTGAATCATTATGAGATTAAAAACAACTTAGAGACTTCAATTTAACAAAACCTTCAATGAAACAGTTTTCAAGGTTTAAAAATTATATAGAACTACGAATTCTGATGTAAGATGTGTTAGTTGACATGAAGTACGTTGTAGATAAAAAGATCTAGAGCGCAATGATGATTAATTTAGGATATAATGTCATGATTGATTTAGATATTGGGATCTTAATTTAAAGCATTATGAACTACGCTAGTTATTTTGGCTTATTGTGTTTAGCTTTATGTATATCATACTGATAAGACAAGCATTATTAGGAATTTGTGAAGTACTCCGTATATTTTACCAAGAAAAAATGACTAAAATATTACTCCTACGTTCTTGCTGGACAAAAATACATCAGCTTAATAATACGGACATAAATAAGACCTCTTAGAATTCAAAAGGCCAAAATACCCTTTCCGTAAATCTAATGTTCATCGTTGCAGACATTTGAAATCCCTATAGCTCCCAGCGAACTACCTGTTGCCTCCGTCTTCCCACCATCGCCTTTGTCCCTGCATCACCGACGGCTGCCAATCCCATCACCATCGTTGACGCCTTTCAATTGCATTCCCTTCTTGCCGCCTGCCAATCGCCTCACCATCGCTGTCGCCTGCGATTCATTAATAGCCCCGCCTATAAATTAATCGTGTTCTCCAGCTCTGAATCGACCGAAGTCCGAAGCTACGGGCATCGCGCATCGCCTCTGTGCATCAGTGCATCCTCAATTGGTCCTTCGTCGAGTTTATGTTCATCTCATTTTCATTTCTTCTGATATCGTGTTAGGGTTACAAGGGTGGGGCAATGGTTGTACAGGGGTTTGGGAGGAGGCTAGGGTTGGGCTGGGGATTGGGACAGGGGCTTGAGCCGGGCTTAGGATGGTGGGGGCCTGGGGGAGGTTGGCTGCAGTAAAGGGACTAGACAGATTGGTCAACGGGGGATCATAAGCTGTGGTGGCATGAGGTGGTCACTGGCGGCGGCGTGAATTGGTCATCGGCAGGGCCGGAAAGGATCACTGGCAGAGGCGAGGACAGGTCAATGGCGACAGCGTGGACTAGTCAATGGCAGCGGCGCGGACTTGTCACTGGTGGCGGCGCGGACTTGTCACTGGCGACGGTGCGGAGTGGTCACTGGGGGCGGGAAAGGTCACTGGCAGCGGCACGGACTTGTCACTGGTGACGGTGCAGAGTGGGCACTGGGGATGGGAAAGGTCACTGGCAGCGGCGGCAGTGAATGCGGACTGGTCATTGGGGGCAGGAAAGGTCACTGGCAGCGACGACAGCGAAGACGGCTGCGATGCAGGATGGGTCACTGACGGCGGTGGGGCACTCAAATGGAATCTTGGTCACTATCAGAATTTTGTCACTTTGTCATTGGTCACTATCGAATTTGTAACTTTATCACTGGTCACTATCGAATCGGGTAATTGTAACTGGTCGGATTGGGTGATTGTACCTGATCGAATCGGGTAATTGTAAAGAGTCGAAACGGGTAATTGCAACTGGTCGGGTCGGGTAAATGGTCGGATCGAGTAATTGTAACTGGTCGAATCGGGTAACTTTAATTGATCAAAGTGATTCATTGTAACTGGTCGAATTAGATAGCTGTAACTGATCAGATCAGATAAATGTAATTGATCGGACGAATAATTGTAACTGGTTGGATGTGTAACGGTGACTTTTCAGATCAAATAAATAAATACAGAGTAAATAAATAAGTAATTGTAAAGGGTCATCTTTTAATTATAATTGAGGAATAATATAAAAATTAAATGAATAATTTTTTAATCATAGCCTGGAACACATGCAGGAAGCCACAGAGAGATGATCGATAGTTCATACAGAGTATTTAGTGCCGTGGTAGACTAGGTAGGGGCATATTTGGCATATTGATCCTAAGATTCTAATTGATACACGCATGGTAACTTTCTTGGTAATTTTTAAAAGAGGTCTCATTTTTGTCCAAATGCTTTTAATTAGTATTATTCATGACCTAACCCCTTTTACCAAATAGCTAACTACTTGTATTTATGGATAAAAATTTCCACATCCCAAAACCCATGATAATTTAAAGCATTATGAACTACGCTAGTTATTTTGGCTTATTGGGACTATATGTGTGATAGCAATCCCTTTAACCAAAAGTGCACTCATTCTCATTTTTCATAAGGAAGCACCTTTTTTACTCATCACACCCTATAGAATACACACACAGATACATAAATGTTTGTGTGCGTATATACTGGGAAAAAAGTGCAGATGCTATTGAAAATAAGATGAGATTTCAGCACTAAATTTGACATTTACCTTAATATCTGCCAATGTATGCACTCTGTTGCAAACAAAGCTTGGAAAACAATCGAGACGAAAAGGTTCTCCCGCTTCTGAAAGGTCAATGATATCTGAGAGGCAAGCCCATTCTCCCTTGGAAATAATCTTGTCCAAGGGATAAGCTGTCTCAGGTGTAGTGGCAGCCATATTGTATGGTGGTATATTACGATCTTCATTGGTTGTGCCAAATACTTCAAGTGCATTTTGATTTGTGAGTTCATTCCCTTCAATTTCATGATCTGCACCAGCATTTGCATGTTGAAGTAAAGCTTCACGCTTCATACTCTGCAGAAGCAAATAATTACTTTCTTGTCATTATATAATCACATTGTGAATTCAAAATCCAAATTAACTAAAATGATATAAATCCTTTTTTATTCTTGATCAGTAAAAGTAGAAAAACTCATTCAACTTCACTACTTCAGATGCAGAAATACCCTTCTTATAGCTCTTTTGGTAGAGTAGGCCGCTGTTAAAGCATTCGTTTTTGCTGCCTTTTCCTCTTCAGTCATTTCTTGCTTGTCCAGATTGTCTTCATCTTCAAGTGTGTCAGGTCCTATCTTGGGATCTAACCTGATAATCTACATTTAGAGAGAAAATACCAAATTCATGAGTAATTACCAAACATAAGACGATATATTATCTCATAATACTATTGTCAAGAAAAAGTTACAAAACTAACCTTGTTTCCAGCAATTGGAATGATCTTAAGTGTTTGAGTCCCCTTGTCTAGAACCCCGATAGAGTAGTGACAAAGATCCGCCGCCGTGGCCTCACCGGAATAATTCGTACCCACAAAATTAACATGCGACCCGCCAACGACGAGCTGAAACCGAGTAGTCCTTTTTCTATTTCTAAACAAACTAAAGCTGCTTTCCGGTTGCTCGATGTTCTCCGGATCAGTTTCCTCCGAACTTTTTTTCAATGGATCGTAGCCAGATGGAAAGTAACCGACAATTGGATGGATCTTATCTGGGTCTGGGCTCAAAACTTCAATCTTCACGGTCATTTTTTCAGTCTCTTCCACTTTATCTGACTTTGTGATGTTCGCCTTAATATATTCCGCTTCTTCAACCCCTTGATCTGGTATGGGGTTTTCCATATGTAACTTCTTCTTTTCCTTCTTACCCATGGCTCTGTGTACAATGAATAAGTGAGCCTTAGATCCCCTTTTGTATTGCTCCATCTACATAAATCCTAATTCTGGAAATCCTCATTCTAATAGGGTCAGGTCCTAAGCCCTAAAAGTCTAAAATCCCAGTTCAACGTTATGATCATTAACTTTATCATCATTATTACGTTAAACCGTTAAAGGTACCCAACTAAATCAAAACAGCATCTCGAGTCTCTACATTTATAAAAGCTGGACGGCCAAATATTATATGCATATAGGGGTTTTAGATTTAGTTGAAACGGGAAACGTCGGAAACGCCTTTAACGGGAAACGTCGGAAACGCCATTTTCCAAAAACACAGGACACGAAACGCGGGGGGAAACGCGCAAATATTAAAAATATAGGGGTTAATTTATAAATATTATATATATGTGTGTGAATTTTTTTATATGCATATATATATTTACACACACACATATATATAAGTTATATATATTTGTGTTGTATTATTAACACTGTCCTCCATCACTAGAGAATTAAAATAATCTAAGTTATACAATATACAATAAAATATTAAAAATTAATTGAATATACAAAAACGAATTGAATATCAACAATTAACTGAATATAAAAACACTGTCCTCCATCAGAGCATCACTACTTTCTGTGCGTTTCAGTTTACAGTTTAAAAACGAAGGAAAGATGAGTCGATGACCTGTGCTCTGAAATAAGTATATAAAAACGAAGAACGAAGACCTGCGAAATTAAAATAAACTAGCCGCCTATACCTGAACGATGACCTGTGCTCCGGAGAAGCCGTCGAACGAAGGAACGATGACCGCTGCAGGGGACGACCTCTGGAGAAGCTGGCGACCGCTGCTGAAGCCTGGGACGATGACTGATGTGCGTAGGCCGTAGGGTTGAAGAGCGAAGAGCCTAAGATGAAAAAATAGAAATTAGTTTAAATAGGACTAAAACTATGTCAAAAAACTAAAATAGGACTTGTTACGTTTTTATTCCAAAATAAGACCACATGAGTCCTATTGGAAACATACTTATTTTTGCATTCCATTCTTACCCTTCCATTAAATATGAATTAAAAATAATCAAAAGTCATAATCAAATGTTTAATTCATAATAAATTCAAAAAAAAATCAAAATTTCGTAGAAATATAATTAAAAAAATTATAAAATTTTTATAAAATAAAAAATTCAAAAACTTTTTTTTAAAATAATTTTTTTAAAAAAAAATTAATAAAAAATAGTAAAACTCCATAAAAAAATTTAAAAAAATATGGATGCCTTTCCCACCGCCTGTACTACCTCCCAGCACCACCACCTCCGGCCGATGAAAAAAAATGTCATTTTCCCAGAAAAATGCCATATTTTTCTGAAAATGCCAAAAAAGTGGCATATTTCTCTTTTCGAATGCCAACATTTTAATTGTTTTCTGCCATAAATATGGCATTCGTAATGAACTTGGCATTTTTTTTCCCTGGTGACTGGAGGTGGTGGTGATGAGGCGGCGGCGATTTTTTTTTTTGAGTTTTTATTTATTTTATTTTTTTAATTTTTTTAATTTTTTGAAAAAAAAATTAATTAAATTTTTAATATCGAAATATTTTTCTTAATTTTTTAGTATTTTTTACGAATTTTTATTATTTTTTATTATTTTATTAGGAATTAAAACATTTTAATAGCTATAAGGGTATAATTGTCCAAGGTACACATAATTAGTCCTATCCAAACATAGTTTATTTTTTGGTCCTATTTGTGAAAAGTGAATGACTTTTAGTCCTATTTTGATAATTAACTCATGAATAAAAGGTTTGATTTCCGTTTGAAAGCCGGCCCTATTTTTAATTGGAACTATGTTCTAAGTTTGGAAAGGCATTTCCAAACTTCCCAAAATTAAGAAACGGCCCTGGATACGCGTTTTTGGCATTTCCTACCCTCGGAAACGTTCGAACGTTTCGGAAACTCCCAGCCTCCCAGGCCCAGACTTTTCTGTGCATTTCAGGTGGTCATTGAATTACAGCTTATTACAACTCCTTAATTTAGAAAATTATTCATCGTTTAAATGAAAGAACAGATAAAGAACGAAGCTCAACAACGCCCTCTAAGCTTGATCTATTCACTGCTGATGAGGAGTTTTTTTTCGAATTAATGCTAATTAATTAATTAATTAATTACGAAAATAATGTTGGGTTAAAAGTATTTACGGATCTACTGTTGGGTTTAACCGTGGTCAGGGAAAGTCGCCCAACCGTTGGGCGACTTTCCATTAAGTAAAAACAGCACCCAACCACAAAACAGAACACTGCGAATGAAACCCAACCCCCAAATCCCCCAAGCAGCAGCTACGAAAGACGAAGGACGACCGAGCCATTTCCATATCCGGCGACCCCACTCCGGCAAACCTCCATCTTCAACACTCTTTCTTCTTTCTTATAGGTAAATCAAACTCCATTTCATCTCATTTTTAACTTAGGGTTTTGAATGTTAAATTTTTGGAATTTTTAGATTATGAAATGTTCAAATTTGATTTGAAATTGATTTTGACATGTATATATTTTGACATTTGGGCATTTGGGTGGATTTGAATGTAGCTAAATTTGGGTATTGAAATGTTGACTTGAATGTAGATATCAAAATTTGGGTATTTTCATATTGAAATGTGAGTTGTTTGAGAATCTTGACTTTTGGATATATTTGAATTGTTATTAGAATATGGATTTCTCAAGCTTCCCAATTGTGTGTCATTGGGGAGGGAACTATTATGAGGATGCTGGTCAAATGTGCCATGAAGGTGGTACAACCACATTTGTCATGGTTTGTCGTGGTGCTTGCATGCTCGAGATCCTTCAAAAAATACATACAGCCACAATGATTCATCCTAGCCGTTCTTTGCGTTTGAAAATGAAATTTCCCATGAACGGGGAAAAGTACATGCTTATGCCCCTCACTGATGAGCTAGCTATAACAAATATGTGGGCCATAGTTCAGATGGAGGACATGACAATGCTTGAGATATACATTGAGGAATCCATATGTGACGCTTATCGTACTCCATCAACATCAAATTCTGTTGTATCTAGGCATTATGTCAATACAGGTGTGAATGCTGGGAACTCCTCAAATGCTCCTGTAATGGACATGGTTATACAGGAAGATGGTAAGTATTTGCACAACGGTGCATCATTTGTGGATGGGCAGGGAAGTGATGATGATGATGACGACAACATCAATGGTGAAGATATGACAGAATCTGATGAAGATGATGGTGATACGGTCACGGCAACTACCCCGTCTACCCACTTTACTAGAATGTATGATCTCCCTGAAGGCTTTACTGATACGTGGCTGAGTGGATCAGGTGAGAAAAGGTTTACCCCCGAAGGTGAGTTTGAGGTCGGTCAACAGTTTGACAACAAAGAACAAGTCATCAATATGGTGAGCTTGTATTCTATCAAACGGTTTCAATTTTTTCGGGTGATAGAGTTCGATAAACACAAATGGGTGGCACAATGCAAAACAAAAGAAAGAATGTAATTGCCCCTGGAGAATACGCGCCACAAAGAACAAAGGCAACCTTGACACCTTCACAATTGTGCGTTATCCTGGACCTCATTCTGCTACGTGTGTTGGGAACACCGACACTACCGATCACGTGGCTTTGACTTCAGATTTCATCTGTAAAGATGTGATTGACATTGTTCGCACTGATCCTTCCCTTAAAGTGCATACTATCATTGAGATGCTGAAGGAAAAGTATGGGTATACGGTATCATACCGGAGAACATGGATGGGGAAGCAAAAGGCCATAGCAGAAATACTTGGCGGTTAGGAGAAGTCATATTCTGAATTTCCCCGTTTCATGACAGCGCTCCAACATTCAAATCCTGTAACTATTGTGCAGTGGTACCCACCCCCTGATACTCTCACAGGTTATATGCAGTTTCAAAGAGTTTTTTGGGCATTCAAGCCATCAATACATGGTTTTAAGCATTGTCGACCCGTACTTACTATTGATGGCACACACTTGTATGGAAAGTACAAGGGTACACTGCTCGTGGCCATGGGTTGTGATGCGAACAACCAAATATTTCCAGTGGCCTTTGCAGTTGTTGAATCTGAGAATGGGGATAGTTGGCCATGGTTTATGGCATGTATTAGGCAGTTTGTCACTAATCGGGAGTTGTGTGTCATTTCTGATCGGCATGGAGGTATTGTCAGGGCAATGAATGAGGTGGGCAGTACTTGGGAGGAGCCTTATGCGCATCATAGGCTATGTATCCGCCATCTTGCATCGAATGTGCACACTCATTTCAAAGACATTCATCTAAAAAATCTTTTTGTCTGGACCGCACGGCAACATCAGAAAAAGAAGTTTGATGGTGGGTTCAAGAAGATAGGTGAAATGAGTTTGGAGGCACGACAATTTCTGGGGAACATTCCCCGGAAATGTGGTCATTGCACCATGATGGCGGGTACAGATACGGTACCATCACTTCTAATCTGGCAGAGGTTTTCAATAGCGTGATGAAAAATGCTAGATAATTGCCCATCACCGCTTCGGCCCAGGTTTCCTTTTACCGGGTTAATGCTTATTTTGTTAATAGGCGTGAAACCAGTAAAATGAGAGTGACAGAAGGCCACGAGTACTCCCCATACATCACAGATTTAATTATTAAGAATAGAGACAAGGCCAAGCATCACATAGTTACTCCATTTGATTTAGGCCGAGGGTTATTTCAAGTGGAAACCGGTTGTGGTGGCCGAACGTTGGGGAAGGATTTGAGAAAACAAACTGTCCATCTGAAACGGAAAACTTGCACTTATAAAAAGATGGAGATATATAAGATTCCATGCTCCCATGTGTTAGCCGTGTGCAGACAACGTAGCTTGTCTTATGCTCCATTTGTGGATATGTTTTTCTCATCTGACCAATACGCGGCCACATATCATAGAGTCTTCAAACCCATTCCTGATCGTGATTATTGGCCTACTTACAATGGACCTGAAATCGTGCACGAATCATCCATGCTTCGGGCTAAGGGAAGACCTAAGTCCACACGTATTAAGAATGAGATGGATGAAGGTCCCCGAGGAACGGTTAGATGTGGAAAATGCCACCAAACCGGCCATAATAGGGCCACATGTGCGAAGAGATCATCAAGACACGATGTGTGGTCCAGTGGGTAAGGTGTTAATTATAGTAATTAACATTAATAAAATTGATGATTAAAAAAAAGAATTAGTATAATAGTAAAAATTAACTAATACGATTTTGATTGTTTGTAGGCATGCAGGTGACAGCGGATCCTAGGTCGAGTGATCAAGATGACCATGACAACTTCTACTTTGTCTTTTGTATTGCAGTTTTTCTTGTACAACATTTTAGATAATTTACAACATTTTAGATGTTGTAGGAACAATTTACAAAATGTTACGTATTTTCTCTTGTATGTTGTATTTATGTGTTCGAGTATGAATATTAGATGATTAATTGTTATGAATGTTTGATGATTGTACTGTGTTTTACCGGTGAGTTGTATGTGTTTATGTATGTGTTTGTGAACATGTGTGTTGTATGTTTTATAATGTGTTGCATCTCGCTCGTAACACTTAAACAGAAGAAGGGAGACCTTATTTATAGCAAAAAGATGAGTCTGGGTTGAAATGGGGCAAAAAAACTGATGAAATTCTATTTTCGGAATTAGGCACGATCGTGCCTACCCGTCCGGGCACGGACGTGTGTGGCTAGCAGTAGCTGTTGGTATGCGTTTATATGGAAGGGGAAAGTCGCCCAACGGTTGGGCGACTTATAAGTCACCCAACCGTTGGGCGACTTTCCCTAACCATGGTTAAACCCAGCAGTAGATCGGTAAATATTTTTTTACCAGCATTATTTTCGTAATTAATAATTAATTAACATTAATTCGAAAAAAAACTCGCTGATAAGATATAAAAAGAAATGCACGAACGAACAGAACAAGTTGCGACAAAATAAGAAGACAGTTAGTAGCAATCGACTAACATCAGGACATTAGACGACCGTGCGGTGTAGACTGCGTCCGACTTAAGCGGAAGAGGAGATGGAAACAGAGAGCAACGTAAGACCGTCTGGCTGAAAGATGAGCGGTAGAGAGATGACCGATCGGATGCATTGGTTCACCACCGGAAGTTGGGTTAGGTTATTACAGTATTGGGCACGTGAATTTCTAATTGGACTGGATCAAACACTTTGTTCCAATAATAACTATAAATTATCTAATTAATTCGACATATTTTAAGTGGTACGGAGTATTTTTTTAGCCATTTGGTAACATTGGAATTGATTAAATGAGTTGAATCTATTGAAACTAATAAAATTCTAGTTGAACCCTGGTGAATTTACTAATTTACTTATTTGCGGAAATCTGATATTTAAAATACTTTTTAATTGATAAATAAAGAAAAAAATCTACGAAAAATAACTACTATTGAGGTTAATTCGTTTAGGTCCAAAAGGCCCAACACGCTTCTTTGGAATATCGTTAAAGTGCTTCTGGATGAGATGAAGTGAGAATAAAGGTCAACACGCAAAATGGCTCAATTGTCCAACTCAATTAGAATAGGATGTTGATTACAAGAAAAAGGCCGAACGGGAGTTCTGAACCAGTTGCTAGTACAAGAACTAGAGAGTGATATATTACTAGTGACTATCAAAATGTAACCCTTTACAATGACATAAATGCAAATATTTATACTAGGAGTGAGTATGTGAGGTGGATGATGGTCAATTCTGAGTGGATGATCTCTTTGCCACATGACTTCCCATACTTGCCACTTGACTTTCCATACCCCCATCATTAAATGCGTTTCCCGCCAACTTGCAAGGTTCTCGCCAACTGTTTGGACTAGGGATGGACTCGGGCCAGGGCAACCGGCCCCGCCCGGTACTGTTTCGGGCAGGCTCCGGGTCTCAAAAACATGAATTGGCCCGGCCGGGCCCATGCCGGGCCATTTTTTTTGTTTTTCAAAATCTTTGGAATGTAAATGGGTTGGGTTGGGTGTTTTGGAGGGGTTTGGGGTTTGGGGGTGGGGAGGGGGAGAGGAAGTAATTAGAAAAATAATAAAAAAAGGTAGCCAGTCCGAGGCCCGGCCCAAACCGAATCCGGTAGCTACCCGAGCCGGTTTCGGGCCTGTTCCGGGCCTCAAGAATCCAGAAAAAAACCTGGTCAGGCCTGGCCCGAGGCCTGACCCGGACTGGCCCGAGTCCATGCATAGTTTGGGCTGATCTTCCATGGATGGCGTTCCTTATTGCATCCAGTCCGTTCGTTGGATGCCGAACGGGAAATGCTCGGACGTAAGGAGATTGTACAGGGGTTCATTGTCCCTGATTTATATTCGTTGGGCTCCGTTACACATGGGCCTCTTAGGGATATTCTAGGCCGGATATTGGGCCGAACTCTAATATCCCAACAACTACTATGATATTTTATAGTCACTTCAATTAACTCATTCATAAAAGTAATTGAAAATTCACTTATGTTGATTACTCTGTATTGTATGATTGTATAATTTAGTGAGCAAAATCAAAAGTTATGAATTTCATAAACAAAAATGATTGATACGATTGATAAGCTGAAAATATTAATTACCAAACATGTTGTTTATATCTTTAAGATGGAAAGTAAATGTAAAAGTTAGTAATAAAATTTTAAAACTAATACTCTATATGTTTTAAACCTCATAAACTATTCTGAAATTTAACATCCATGTAAAATTCACTCACATCAACAAGCATTGTAATTGTTGGGAAATATTATCCTGGCATGTTACTGTTCAGGAGCCCAAGGCACCACCTCGTCACGGAGCCCAGTCGACGAGGCTCGTTTAGTCCTACCCGGCCTGTTTCAGCCCAGTCGGGCCGCTAGGATAGAAGTTAGGCCCATCGAGGCCCAACCGACCCATTGGCCCATTAGAATAACCCTTACACCCCTCCCCCTTCTATAAATAGGGAGCTTGGCTTCTTATTAAAGGGAGATCTTTTAGGCTCTTCTCTCCTTGGGGGAGCTCTTCTCCTTGTTTCTTCTTCCCATGTAGAGTAGTTGTTCAAAACTCCATTAATGGAGCTCAAGAATTGTATTTTGGTGAGGAGAGTATTAATGAGAAAGAGAGGGCTTAGACATTAGTCTAAAAAGTCTCGTGGTTTTCTCTCTTTCTGGGTTTCCACGTAAAAACAGAGCATTTCATACATATTATATCTATATCTATTAGTTGGACCAAACTCAACAGAAATATTTAAAGAAATCATAAAAATTGTTTTAGGGACAATTTATCACTTTGTATACATCTTATTTTATTAGTCTTAAATTTCAGTGTTCATTATAACTATCACTTTCTTATATTGACTGCTATATTATAAAAAATGTTGTATAATAGGTATTAATTTATTTGAATTAAAAAAGTTCTCCAATTAAAGTTCAATGTTATTTAGAAGAATTGGAACATGTGAAACCAAAGCGTGCAAGGTTGAAAAAATATTTAAAGACTCTGCTACCATGTTGACAATTAACGATGAGTATTAATATATACGGTGTTTCATACTTTTCCACTGCTACTAATAATGATATGTTCACAAAGTTAAAATGCGAAAAAAAAATTGCCTCATCTTTTTTTTCCCTCATCTTTTTTTTCCCTCATCTTTTTTTTCCTAGTTTTTTTATCCTTATATATATAAGCATTATTTGCAACCTTTTTATTTTATCATTTTTATATATATTCATCTTTTTTATATTATCTTTTCATAATAGCTTATCTTTTTATCTTTATTCCTTCTTTTCGTTTTGGTTGTGATATCATGTATCGATTCATGTTAGCCGATCCCAATATCTTTTGGGACTAAGGCTTGGATGTTGTTGTTGTTGATGTAGATTGGAATTATTTGTGTTGTTTTGTTGACACAAAATCACACTGAGTTTGTAGAATATTTGTAAACTAGAAAATACGGCTTTCAATCGCTTCTTCACACGCTACGACCCTTAACATGTTATAGATCTGGTTTACATGTGCTACTTACTCATAAATAATTAAGTGTATTCCCTCTCGTTTCATTTAATCCTATTATTTAAGGTGATACTTTTTCATTTTAATGAGGCGTGTATACACTTCAAATTATATATCTATGTTTCAAAGTTTGAGTACTTTTCTTAACAATACAGTATTGTATAGACATTTCATATTTGAACATGGGACATATATTTTACATGTGTCAACATTGAGGAGCTCGTTTTTTGTATTATGACACATTAATGTCTTATTGTAAATCGAAAAATTGTAAAATAAAGTTTTCACCGATGAAAAGACCTCATCAAACACTATACGATGGTGACAAAAGGAGCTCTCATTTTTCACAAAGCATATGAGCAATTTTTTACTCCAGTGGGTCTAAGGGAGGGGGGCCCGGGGGCCTGGGGTAATTAGGGCTGAAAGTCACTGTATTGAGTTTCACACCCTTATGTGTCTCGCGGGTTTCGAACTCGAGACCTCCTACTAGACACGGTAACCTCACAACCAGCTGAGTTGGAATGCTTGGTTACAAAGCATACGAGCATATATTAATATGTTTTCTTCTGCGTCAATGTGAGGAAGGATTAATGTTAGTCAGAATATTGGCAAGTCTCTTTCAATTTTCAAATTACATAGACACTACTATTTGATTGAAAGTCTGATGTTAGAGCATAATACTTTTTCAAGAGTTATTACTTTTTATTTGTAATGAATTATGATTCGTAATATATCAAATCAAAGGTATTTCAGTGTTCTATATTCTCAAATTTATAGGGAGTCGGTTGACCACTCTGACCTCCCTCTTTGGCTCTGTCGCCGCTAGCAGCAATCATGTTATGGCACCGGAAGGGTGGTGATGGTACTGGAAACATGAGCGACAGTGATTGGTAGTGATGGGTTTATTTCATGTTTTAGTTTTGTACTATAAATAAAGAAACCGAATTTTGCACGCGGAATGATTAAATGCACAGTCTAAGGAAGCAATCACTTTGCATTTACAATAAATTATTTCCTCCGTCCCATAAAATTCTTTCAATTTTTCTTTTTGGGTCGTCCCAAAAATATCTTCTCACTTACCATTTTGGGACAATTTGGGTGCCTCACATTCATTTTACTTTTTTATTACACAACTATAACCATAAATTTCCACGTTACTCTTACTTCTTTAACTTGCGTGCCAAGTCAATGTGGGAAGTATTTTTGGGACGGATGAAGTACATTGTTGGCTAGATTTGTAATTTATTTTCAAGTTGCGTGTGCAAAGGCGATGCAGTGCTTTATAAAAAACATGCAAAATGTTTTACCACGCACTCCCACATACATGGTACAATGCGAAATATTTTTGAAAATTATCCTACATTTCACATTAACTAATAAAGCTAAACGGTGTAAACATTTTACGTCCTCACATTTCGCATGCAAAGTAATAATTATTTTACATCCCATCAAATGCCTTCTAAAGGTAAAATTGGGATATCAGCCCTTATGTGAGGAATTAAAAACATATACTCCCAGGGGCGGATCCGATGTGGGGTGGGCTAAGCAGTAAAAAAATTGTTACTCTAAATACAAGGTTTAGCTCAGTGTTGTTATCAAATCGAGCTTTTTCGACTTATATACTCGAGTTTGAGCTTGAATTTGCCTCTGATTTAATGACCAGAGCTTACAAGCTTCAAAGTTCAAACATGAACACAGACTAGGTGTTGAGTTTGAATAATTATTCAAGCACAATTCGAAAATAGTGATGTTTGATTTGATCCGGATTCGAGTCTATCGTTCACTTACAAATTATAGGAATAAATTATAGGAATAGTGCAATTTAAAAAATTTATTAATGATTGTTAAAGATTTGAGTATTTATTGAATAATTTTAACATGAACCTATTAAAGAGTATAGTCTAAACCATAGTCACATGGATCACGGTACACATCGGTACGCGGTATGAAAACGGGAACGCAGTTCGCTAATATAAAAAATCCGATACGCATGGGGTAGGCTTCTTCGGTACACGCTATTTCGGTACGCGGTACGGTGTACCATAAACATATACTACCTACAATTTACTATGTATTAAGTACAAACTATAAATGTAATAAATATAATATAATACTAGTACTAAACAATTAACTTGACTAAAACATTAAACAAAAGGCTGAAGTACTTAAACAAATAAAGTAATTATAATTAACAAAATTAATTCAAATATTAAGAATGAAGTCTAAGGTTCTGAACCGTGGAATTGAGTACGAAAGTCTTGAACAGTTAAACCGTCTCTTTGGAGTCTGGAAGGAAGTACGAAAGTCAAAGGGTCGTTTAGATTTCAGAGGTACGAAATTACGAATAGGAAAGAGTCGTTTAGACTTTAGAAGTCGCGTTGCTTGGAGAGTAGAAGTCGCGTCGCTTAGACTGCTGCGTCGTCGTCCGCTAAGGGAAACTTGCGGACGACAAACGGGATGCGGCGAACTACCTGCAAGTGAAGCGCGAACTGCGATCGAAATCCGCCGTACCGGAGTCGCGACCCAACAGCGACAGGCGCGCAACTGTATCGGAGTCTGTATCTATGTTCTAGACTTCTACATTCGAGCATGTCTATTGTGTGTTAAAATCGAACACCGAAAATCTATCGAACCAAACTCAAGTTCAATTTCGCACTAAGTAAATATTCATTTCATTTTCTTTTATTTGCAATATGGTCATTATCAATTCTAAAAAACGTTTTCAATATTGGTATGAATTAAATTACTTCTATAATATTATAAAACTAATACGAAAAAACAATTGTTGTACATAAAATTATTTATTATAAATAATCATCCCAATTTCAAAATTCAATTGAAATTTTCAATTCTTTCTTACGCGGCCAAACAATAAATAAATCATTCTTTAATTTTCAATTGTATAATAAATAAATTACTCTCTAGTCATTAATTATATCTTTAATCATTATATAAATTTATAATGAATTAAACATTGTTTTATTATGTACTCAAAAATTCAAATAGTTATCAAATTGTTCCCTAACCCTAAAAGGCTAAAAATAATACTCCCTCCGTTCTTTTTTAACTGTATCGCATTCCTTTTTGAGACATTTTTAATTATTTATACCTCTTCTCCTTTTTGGTAAGTTTTTTCAATCAAAATACTTTTATACCCCTACTTTTATTACCATTACTCTTTTCTCTTTCGTACTTTTTCATTTACCCACAAACCACTACACCTTTTAAACTACCCATATTATTTTCTAACTTAAAATCTGTGTCGAAGCCTAAGAGGACTCATATTTAAGAAAGGAGAGAGTAATACACAATAACACAACGTCACAAAAATAATAGATTAAAAATCTAAAAGAAAATTAGAGTTAGAGTATACCTGGACTCCTGAAGGCTGGAAGCTGGAGCAGTGGAGGCGTGGAGCTGGCCGCTGGAGGCAGGGCCGCAGGCAGACTGGCAGAGCCGGAATCGGAGAGCTGAGAGCCGGAGTCCGGAGAGGAAGGACGGCCGACGTAGGACCCTGGACGCGTGGACGGCGGCAGGCGGCAGGCGGCGCGGCTGGTGGCCTGGTGTTCGCGTCCTCGTCGCAGGCTCGCAGCTCACAGATTCTTCGTCGCAAGCTCCGTCTTCACTCTTCGTTCTTCTTCGACCTTCTCAAATCGCACTTCAGTTCGCGCAGCTGCGCACTCGGTCTAAGGACGTAACTGATAAGCGCAGCTACGCAAGTAAGGGCCTTCCGCCTTCAGTTTCCGCAAGGCACGATGGAGTGTTGGGCTGTTGCTGTGTACTGGGCTGGGAATCGTTTCGGGTGGGCATAGAATTAAATGTGGGATGGGTCGAGAATTTAACATATACTTATACTAACAAAAAAATGGGTTGGGCTGAACCTACCCGAGACCTAACTATCATGGGTGCTTATCCGGTGCATTCCATAATTTGGTGTGTTTTGGTACACCTCTTTTTTAACCACCCATCATCCTTTTTAACCACTCATCCCATTATATTTTTATCTTACGTCACCTAATATCCTCATTAACTAAACATAATAATTTGTCATTTTTGCATTTAGATCCTTCACCGGATTAGAAAAAAAAAGGTTAAACTGAACAAAATCGTCAAAGGAGATTTATTTAAATACGAATTGATGGAGTATATGGCCCATGGACCCCCGGCCCACATGCTTCCACTATTACAATCAGGCCCAACAAGCCCAAGCGGGCCAAACCTAACAAGATGGAGCTCTAAGCAGCCCACGATACATGAAGGGGTGCCTTCGGCTCCATGGTTGAAGGCTACCAGTGACGGAATTGGGTTTAACAACATCACGAGAAAATAAGGCTTGAAAACCAAGCCTTCGGCAATTGGAGCCCTCGACACTATGAGGCCCCCGGTACGCAGGGCCTTCAGACTATCATCTATAGCCGAAGGCATCCTCCTCGACAGAATCTCTCATCCACATGCGCTGGATCACCGTACCAAGTACAAACGTCGCATCCAACCACCGCATTTAATGCGGACACATGCGAGTGCCAGTGCCACCCCGATTGAGGTGACCCCTCGACCACCAGAATGTTGACATGTGTCCCTATCTAGCATTTATTGCTACTATAAATAGCTGCCCCTTTCCCCTTTGTAACACACAACTAGAATACATAACTCATATATTTGAACTCACTCTCTCTCTCTCTCTCTCTTACTTATTTGCTCTGACTTCTCTCTAGATTACTCCCCGCAGTAACCCCTCGGATAAGCTACCTCCCGGGTACACTATCCATCAGGAATAAATAAATATTTAATTGTCAAAGTATGTGCAATGTTTAAAAGTATTCTAAATAGGAATTTGGCCTACAGTGACGCTGACGCCTGGTCAGATCTGGACGTCACCGATCTGACCACCGACATTGCACATCTTGCCATGAACCACCATCGTACATCTGACCAGATCTGGCCACGTCGACCACCGGCACTAAAGATCCGGCCTCTACCGCTAAAGATTTGGCCTACACTAACGCCGACGCCGCAGATCTAGATCACCGGCATAGAGAACTAGGGGGCAATTGTTTATAGGTTTAAATATGATTAAGTCCCTGCAAAAAATTTTTTTTTATGTTTTTCATCCTTGTATTATGCATTATTTTGTTTTTAGTATATCACTAAAAAAATTCATCCCTATAAATTTTTTGAGGAAAATATTAGGGTTAAAAAAATAAAAACTAATCACTCACATTTTTAAAATACGTATTAAATTCCATTCTTATTATCAGCGGTAGACTAAAAGAAAAACTAACATACATTTTAGAAATGAAAAAAACAATTGCAGGGATACTATGTTTGCAGAGACTAAAAAAAATTGAACCTTAATTATATTAGGAAGGACAAATATGGTATAAAAGTCCTGTTTAAAAAATAAAAATATACATAGTCCTATTTAGAAATTTAAGAAACAATTCAATCATATTTAGGCTAATAACTCAGTCCTCACAACAAGTCATTAATCATATTTAGTAGCACAATACTAAAATGTGATTGGATAAGAAAAGGTGCGTAACGGTGCACTCAAAATTTAGGAGTGCACCGTAGAATTTTCCATTTAAGAATCTACTCTTCACTTGTATATTGTCATGTGTTACTTATTGTATACGGAATATTAATTAATTTAAACATTATTTTCAATCCTTCGAACGGTTTCAATCAGGAAGAACCTAGTAAATCGTTAATCATGTTAAGACTGTTGACTAAAAGTCTAACATAACGAGAAGAATGTACGTAAAAGTTGCAAGAATGAACTAATATTTTATTTTAATTAAGTGACAAGTACAGGACTTGGACAGTAAGACCTAAACCATTAAAAACCAGAATACAGGCAATCAGGCACAATACTAGGCTCTAATATAGTAATATTCACACCCTATCAATTTCATTGCTCACGCAACTTCATCTAAATTTCTTTATATAATTTAATACTCCCTCCGTCCCGGAAAATTAGTCCCACTTTGACTTGGATCGGAGTTTAAGAAAGTGGGAATAAAGTGAAAATGTATGATTGTGATTGAGTAAGAAAAAGGTAAATGAATGTTAGCTACACAAAACTTTCCAAAAAGGGAAATGAGAACAATTTTTTGGGACGGTCCAAAAAGGAAAATGAGACTTATTTTATGGGACGGAGGGAGTAATAAACAACGTGTTGGGTACTCAATAATAACATGATTTTTGGTGTTATATTTTAAGAATGAATATAAGTGTGACAACAAATAATGCACACACCTAGAAAGTCTTCGGTCAAATGATTTGTTTTAAGGATGGTTCAATTACACAGCATAAATCTGGGTGCACAGTACGCGGTATTGTTCACTCGGTCTTACACTTGCTAGTTGCTAGGGTACATGTGAATTATATCTAAAAAACATATATCCTCCCCCACCAAAAATCGAAATTGCATCCAATCTCATGGTTAGGGCTGGGCAATTCGGCTTATGGTTCGTTTTTCTTCGGTTTTAGTTCAGTTTCGATTTATTTGATTTGAGAAAATTTGTATCAAACTAAAATCACTTGTGTTTCAGTTTGGTTTCGGTTCAGTTTCGGTTCGGTTCAGTTTGAATTTCGGTTTACCAAAGTGAAATTATTATGTTCAATTTAGTTTGATTTGATTCGGTTTCTTATATTTATTACTAGTATTTTATTTGATTAAGTTCTATATTTTAGAATTAGAAAATGAAAGTGGTAGTCCATCTCATATTCTTTTATTTATTATTTAAATAAAATATAAAAGGAAGTAGAAGATAGAAAAAGAAATAATAATATATTACTACGTATAAATTAAAACTTCTAACATCTTTTCAACCACTAGACAAAGATTCACTTCTCACAAAAATAAACTTATATATAGTTGATTATCATTTATAATATCACATTAAGTATTCAAAGGAAACTAAATGAGTAAGTGGTGCAAATGTTGTACTATTCACAACTTTATTCAAATGAATCATGTAAAAAGTATAAATGCAATTTGCTATTGTTATCACCAAATATCTTTTCAAACAAGTAGAATACAAAACATAACAAATACAAATATGACGTATTAGATAATATTGTCATAATGAATGTATAAATTGTGTAAAAGTTAAAATGATATATATATATATATATATATATATATATATGCAAATTTATTTTTTTATGTCTAAATTATTTATATACTTCGTACTAAAGATGAGTGAAGAAAAATACAAAGTATTTATATATATTACAAGTTGTTCGGTGTTCGGTTCGGTTTACGGTTTTTCAGTTTTTTACTAAACCAAACCAAACCATTCGGTTTGAGAAAATTTCTACCAATCGGTTTACTTAAGTAAACCTAAACCAAACCAAACCACCAATTTTCGGTTAGGTTCGGTTCAGTTCGGTTAAACCAAACCGTTTTGCCCAGTCCTACTCATGGCAATGGATGGTTTTGCTATTTTCATATAAGTTTTTCTTTATTTTATGAATAAAATGTGTTTTAAATATAATATTTTTATAGATCAACAGAATCGGTCAATTCGCTTTGAACCACATTTTCAAACACTCTTAACTTTTATTACTGAACACTTTTCTGAAATCGTTCTAAAAAATAAATGGTGTCATAATATTCCATATGACTTATATGAGTCTTTAGTTTTTAATTTTTTTGCCTCTTATGTCTATGGTTAATATTCCTATATTTATTATTCCGTAGAATACTTTACCTACCCAGTTGATTACTTTTCTCATCTCGCTAAGATTGTCACATCTATTCTTTTTCAGCTCGTACCTCTAAGATTGTCTATGGTTAATTTTCCTATATTTTTTATTGCGTAGAATACTTTACCTACGCAGTTGATTACTTCTCTCGTCTCACTAAGATTGTCACATCTATCCTTTTTCAGTCTGTACCTCTAAGATTGTCACGTACCATATTTGATAAAGTTTGTGCGGTTCTAAATCATTCTTACTTTATTCATACTTTATCAGTTCAATATCAACCATATAAAGTCACTTTTCTTAATTGTGTCACCCTTTCATGTCTCGAGGTTGGTGAGACGGAGATAGTATATATTTCCAAATTTTCACTCTCATTTTTTTTCATCATTTTCATTTACCCCAGTGCCGCAAAGGCTCCCACCTACGGTGGGGTAAGGGGGGGTCGGATGTACGCAGTCTTACCCCTATACTAAAGCACAGAGAGACTGTTTCCGGATGACCCATAGTGAAAATCGCGTCCAAAATTGCATGGACTGACTGCTGCTTCATTACAAAGAAGCGCAGACAGTTTAGTGAGCCATTTTGATTTATTCCATCATAATCTCAAGCCAAAAAATAATGAATCTTTGGCTCCATTACAAATGATGGAAAATAAGCTGTTTGGTAACACGAAAATCAGCTGAATCAGCTGATTCTGCTAAAATTTATGAAGATCTAGCTGAAGTGGCTGCATTGACTGATTCTACTGGTTTAAGAAAAAAATATTTTAAAATATATTCTATTAATAAAATAAATAAAAAATTATATGTAAAATAGCTAAAATGTTCATCTATAGTAACTTCAGCCAATACAGTCAGAAAAGTAACTCAATCTTACTTTTCTTATTATTACACAATGTAGTGTGCGACATCTAAATTTGCGTGTTTGGTGAAAAAAATTACTGATAAGCAGGGTCGGTCCTGATAAAATAGGGGCCCTGTGCAACAATAAAAATTAGGTCTTTTATTTAAACGTGAAAAATTACAAAATAGTTCGCAATATAATGTACACTATGTTAATAATAAATTTTTAATGTTTTATAACAAATTTGAAGTTATTATTAATTAACAATATAGTCAAAATAAAAATATCCATTTACAAAGTACCCTTCATTTAAAAGAGATCTTTGAACGTATTTTCAATGTGAGTTATAAGTACAAACTTTTTAAAAGGCGCAAGGCGTGTCATGACGACATGATTAACTTAAAGCCTTTGAAGCCTAGACAAATTTACTTAGGTAGTGTCAGATGTGAAAAGATGTTTTAATTTTTATATTTTGTTTTAATTTTTGTACAGACATTTTAAAAACCGTCACAATCACTTAATTCTAAAAGATGAATATTAGTTAATGTGATTAAATTTACTATTATAATAATCGCTACGTTTAAAAACTCACAATTTTATAAATATTGTTTATTTTAATCATAACTTTGTAATTATTTCTAATAAAAATAATACGGAGTCCAAATCCCAAAAAATAATATTGTTTATAATACGTTTAAAAACTCACAATTTTTGGAATAATTTTATAATATCGGGCCTTGCTCATGATGGGAAGCCTGGCGTGCAAATCCCAAGAAATACACAATGTAGCATAATGTTGTTTGTGTGTCTTCTCTGATCTTCTAAATCCTAATTAGTTTCCCACACCGATCATGAAAAAGAATTCCGTAGCCTATTGTTTTATAAAAAAAGACTTCTCCCATTCCGTCATCCATATGGGTGATTTGTACGCTTTAGTGTTTTCCAAAGAAGCGAAAGGGCCGATCTGAATTGTAAGTCTGGTTTATTTGGCCGCATTTTAAATGACTTCATATAACTATATCAAGTAAAAATAATTTTTTTGGGCCTTAATTATTTTTGGGCCCTGTACGGTTGGACTGTCAGCACATGCTCTGGGCCGGCCCTGCTGATAAGCATGATAAGTCGAAAACGACCTCTTGAAATACTTGTTCTAATTCTTTTGCTTGTAAATGGGAACATGGGAACCAAGCTTACGAGCCAACCCACACCTTATTCGTGAACACATCTAGCTTGCAAGTTGCAACTAATTCAAATACCGATGTACGGAGTATGGGTGGAGACGGGGAGGGCGGAACGGAACCTTGGCCTCTGCAAGCAATGGTGGACCCAGAAAATCGGAGTCACAGGGTCCCTACTTTAATGTAACTCTAACCAATAACAAATTAAAAACATGTAAGTATATAATATGAAAGTAGCATAACATTTCATAGTTAATGTACATCATCAAAATATTAAGAACTTTTATCAATTCAGAACCTTAAAGATAGATAAATTATAAATTCGGTACCCGAAAGATGAAATGTATTAATATAGGACCCGAAAGATGAAAATCGTCAATCTGGGATCTAAAATTTCATAGATTTTGATTTGTTTATTTTTTATTAAATCATTTGCTAATTTTTGATAAAAAATTTTCCACAAAAGTTTATTAGTTTAATAAAACTAAATAATATTTAAAAATGTTAACATAAAAATAATAAAAATTCATGACAATATAGGTCCGAGATTGATAGTCTTCAATCATTCAAGTCCTAAATTGACATTTTTCATCATTTGAGTCTTATATCTATAAATTTCTTCTTTCAGGTCTCGGATTGATAATTCATTTACCTTTCAAGTTTTGAATTGATAAAATTCCAAATATTAAAGTAGTACATTGTTTCATAGTCCCTACTATGACGCACCTCATCTTTAACATTAGGATGCAAATTAACAATTTTTTTCTCAAACCAGGATAAGCTTCTAAAGATTCAAAATAAATATGTTGATCATGTGTATTGTCAGTCAAATTAATTTCATATTCACCAATTATTTTATTCAATTCTTCACTTAATAATCGAAAATCATAATAGAAATTTTAATAATTAATCGAATAATGTAAAGTTGGGGATTTTTAAAAAAGGCAAAAGGATATAGTTGTGATCTTTTACAATAATAAATCAAAAAAAGAGGAATATGAGTGAGAGGCAATCGATCCTTGCACCTCTAAGAAAAGTAAAAGTTTTTAAAGCCTTTACTCCATTGCTCTACTCCATTCTTTGAGACTCATAGTTGTTTTTCAGTTATATATACATTTATAAGTAAATTTTAAATAAAATATATAAAATATATAGGTGTTTTTTTAGAAGTACGCGGGGTCCCGGGACCCCGTGGGACCCTTAGTGGGTCTGCCCCTGTCTGCAAGGAAAAAAAATCGAAAGCGTATATTATGTATAGATGCTTTTAATTTATAGAAAATATGTTGTTATTTTAAACTTAAGCTTCTACAAAGTACAATTTTTAAGGATCGGCCCCATTAATTATAGATTTTTTACTCCGCCATTGAAGTATTAAGTGATGGACACGATACAAGCTAAAACTGTCCTAACAATATTAGAGTTGACGTGAACAAATATGATCCTTGTGAACATCATATTATTATTATTATTTGTTAGAAAACATCATATTATGATTAGTTCTTCGGTAACTATCAAATTTGGACATGACGGAAGCTGCGTAAAAGAAGAGTCTATTTTGTAACCCTTGGTCCAAGCTAGGAAAAAGATGGAATCTTCCATCCCAGGAGCCCCCACCCGGCAGGATGGTGGGGAGGTGTAACCCTTATACTATCCTCCGTATCATAATAGTTACAACATTGAAATTTACACATTATTCAGGTACTCTACTTTGACTACATTTTATTTATTAATGTATGTGCATTATTATTTTTGAAAAATATTATTGAATTCGTCTCATTACGAAATTTCGTAATATGATTTTTAAAAGTTTTTTACTAATAGAGAATTAAATATAATGATAATCAAAGTCGTGTCTTGGCAAACGTGAAAAGGGGAATGTTGCAACTAAAAAAGAATGAAAAAACTATTCAATTTATCAGCCATACCAATCAACATTTTTATCAAATACATGTATTAAATTTTACGTGTCGAATTATATAATAGACATAGTAAATAAGCTTGAAGTTACTTTATGACTGAAGTTATCATAGATAATCATTTTAACCGCTTTCATGTAATTTTATCTTAATTTATCTATAAATACTACCTTCGTTCTTAAAAGGTTGCAACATGAGAAATTTTACACTTCACATTTTCTATTTTCACTTTTTGTATATACAAATTATTAAAAAAAATTAAAAAAAATTAATTAAATTCATCACGCATTAAATTTTCTAAATGTTATTTAAAAGAATTGCAATTAGGGAATTAAATACTCTGTGTACTAATTGTCAAAGTTTTTTTAAAAAATTTAATTGTCAAAATTTTATGTTGATAAACAAGGAAATATATTTTAATTATTATTTTTACAATTTAACAAATTTAACTGATTTATAACCTCAAAAACTTTTGCTACTACAAAACTGCTATTCATACACGAATAAGATGAGTGTCTCACCAAATAAAAAAAATACTCGTACTAGTAATAATATCCTAAGCGTTTTTAAACAACTCTACGTATTTATTTATTTATACGGATTACAGAGTACTGTGTAATAAAAAATTTACAAAGTTTAAAGAATAAAAATTAACAAATGGATTATGTACCGGTGGACGTAACTCAACTGATAGCAAGGGAGCGTCACAAGGGTTGAGTTACTATACTAAAAATGCATAGGGTTTCTGCAAGTATCGAAGACAGAGTCTCACTCTTTATCTGTCAGATTGTGATTATAGTGCAATTTACATCCTCCCAACGTACCATCTGGTCAGGTTGGGGGGCCTCAGGGATGGGGTGTCATCCTATTTTTAACAAATGGATTATGTAGTGGATTTGGCTCAACACCTAGATAGAGGTGTCAAGGATAAGTATAGACTTTTAATCTCGACAACTACGATAAGATAGAACTTTGCTAGAGGTACCCATTTGGTACTTCATTTGTACCATTCGTATATTTGTGGTTCACAAAAACACAACACATTAAATGAATTGCTCCATTTTAATGAAATGCCTTTGTGAAACACAAATATAGGTACAAAATGAGGTACAAATTAGGGTGGTACTAAGTATAGAGTATAAGGTTAGAATAAAAAAAAAGGTATAAGGTTAGAACTTAGAATAAGTCCAGCGGAGGGACAGAAACAGCACTGTTCCTTGACCAAGACACTATATATACATCCCAAGTACGCCCGCTCATTCCAAACGCCAACCAAAAAGCAAAAGGCTCCCATCTGAAAACTCAAATTAAAGCTCCTTTTTTTATATTTTTTCCTTCATTCTGAAAAGCCTTTTAGCTTTCTTTCTTTATCCAATGGAAGAAGACAGCGAGGGTTTGACTCCATTTTGGGCACAAGGAAACACCGGTCCCCGCCGGAGGGATCGACTTCTCAGCCGCTCAGAGTCCGGCGTTTTCAGCTCCGGCGTCCTGGCCTTCCTCCTCCTTGTTTCTGCCATTGTCTTTCTTCTTTTCATTGGTCAGCATTCCAGCACCAGCACCGTCCTCCGGCCGACGGAAGTCAAGAAAAATTGGGACTCGCTGAATATTCTTTTGGTTTTTCTGGCAATTATTTTCGGGTTACTGAGCAGGAACAAGAATGAGTCTCAGAAATCGAATCCCTCAACACCCAATTGGAATAGTTACAGAGAAGAAGATGTTCAACGACCGGACCCGCCAATTGTTAATCAGTGGGTCGAGAGCTCCAATCGAAGCTCATTTAATGGTCGCGGCGACGCTTCTGGCGGTTTGCGGCGGACTTATGGATCTTACCCTGACCTCTGCGAAATGTCGCCGCGGTGGGTCTCCCCCGACGATCAGTGGCGGTTTGTTGATGATACCCTTGTTGATTCTTGGAAATCGAATGACTCCGGGAACATGAATCGGCGCAAGGGCTGGAGGGATACTGATCGGAGTCCGGAGGCGGAAAGCAAGAACCTTTATGCGGACATGGACGCGCAATCGATTAAGGAAGAGACAAAAGCACCAACACCGCCAACACCGCCGCAGCCCACGGCTGCGGCACCAAAATCTGAACAAGTTCGATCCGAATGGGAGACCAGCGCTCGGAATAAGAGGGATTATGATGCTGAATCAAACATCCCCGCATCTCCACAGCCGCCTTTCACTCCTCCTCCACCGCCGCCTCCCCCTCCTCCACCGCCTCGGTTGCTTGATTCAAAAAGCAGCAAAATTGAGCGGAAGCGAGGCGGAACAAGTGCGACTAAAGAGTTTATTATAAACTCTATTTATCACAAGAAGAAAAGAAAACACAGATCCAAGAGCTTGGACAACTTGGATTTCCAGATGTCCCCGCCGTCTGCTCCACCGCCTCCGCCGTCTTCCTCTGTCTTTCAAAATTTGTTTTCATCGAAGAAACCTAAACAAAAGAAAAAAGTCCGACCTGCCTCAACGCAAAGGACCCCCCCACCGCCACCTCCGCCGCCGTCAGCTTCATCAAGAACGCCCCCCATCAACAGACTTAAAGCAACACCAGTTGGTGAAATGGCTAAAATTGTCGTAATGGTGGAAGAGAAATCCAACTCGGGCGGTGACTCCCCATTGATCACGATACCTCCGCCGCCTCCGCCTCCGCCGCCGTTCTCAACAAAGCCGGCTTGGAAGTTTGTCGTGAAGGGTGGGTACGTGAGAGTTGATAGCTTCGCCAGTTCCCGCTCGGGTTCGCCGGATCTTGATGATTCCGATGTCACCCCAACCGCAGCGGAAGCCGGAGATGAACCGAACCAGTTTCCGCCATCACCATTGTTCTGCGCTAGCCCGGACGTGAACACGAAAGCTGAGAATTTCATTTCAAATTTCAGAGCTGGGCTGAAATTGGAGAAGTTGAATTCTGTGAAAATCCAAGGCCCGGGCCCTTCCAATCTGGGCCCAACACTACTATCCAAATAGTCACAAAAAATGGATTTGGAGCCTCTTTTGGCAAAGTAGGGTGCCTGTCTTTTGGCAACCCTCCGATCAAAAATTCAACGGTTGACGATCCTGAGGTCCGTATCTCGAGGGCCGCCATTCTTATCATCCGCCCGTCCTTTGTGAGGATCTGAATCCCAAAAAAATATGCTACGTATTTCGTTAATATTTTCTTTGTTCAATAATTATTTGATTTTTTTTATTTGTACGGAGTATATCTTTACTTCTTTTTCATGTGGTAAAATCTTGTAATTCACACGTTTTTTGGACGATTAGAAGGTCTCTGGTTTTCCATGGTAATGGTGTGTTCATTTTTTATTTTATTACTCGGTATTTGTTTGGAATAAATGAATAATTGCGGTGTTGTTTATGATTTTTTTGCCGAATTGTTTTTATCATATTGGACATATAGAAAAAAAGAGTGATATTCTAGCCTAAGTTTTTATTTGAAATTAAATCCGGGCTTCCTCCTACGAGGTACTGGCGACCTATATATGTTCAAAAGTATTTGGACATCCAAAGAATTTTTTTTTGTGTAAAAAAAAAACATACTCCCTCCGTCCCATAAAATTCTTCTCACTTTCCTTTTTGGGTCATCCCAAAAAATTCTTCAGACTTACCATTTTTGGAAAACTTGTGTGGTTCACATTCTAATTTCTCACTTTCTTAATCTCTGTGGCAAATCAAAGTGAGAAGAATTTTATTGGAAGGATATAGGATATAAATTTTCTAGAATTTCTATTATAAATACTCCCTCCGTCCCATATTTAACTCCGGTTTTGACCGGACACGGGTTTTAAGATAGTGGGATTTGTGTGGTGGAGAGTTATGCAGAAAAGAAAGAAATGTGTAAGAATGGTTGTGAACCACATATTTTATACCAAGAAGGGAAAAAGGAGATAAATTTGAACACTTAAAATTTAAAAAATAAATTTGAACACTTAAAACTAACATGGTGGATCCCCACTACCACGAGGTGAATTGCGCCCTGATTTTGTTGAACAATGATAGAATGGATTATGGATGACAGATGGAGTAGTTGGTGTTCGTTAAGATTTGATAGTGACAGTCGTCGCAAACTAGTGTGGTCATGTATTTTACTCGCAAAAATGCTATAGGTATCCAAATTCTATCCAATTTATACCCCACATAAAAGCCTTCCTATTTTTACCATTTTTTAACTTTTCAAACATCTCTCATCCCACATCTTCTCTTTCTTTCTTCCATCCGTCTCTTGCTATTCTCTCACCCTCATTCCCATTTTTTCTCCTCTTTTCATTTGAAGAGCTCTCATCTCCATTTTTGAATGTTTCAAGATCTCCCCATCTAGTTGTCTCTAAGGTAACCATCCATTCTCAAATAATGAGGTACGTACTCTATTTTACGTTTTTTGTCATTTGTTTGTACCTCAAACGAATGCAAACTAGTGTGGTCATCTAGTTGTATCTATATTTCTCAAAAAACGAAAAATAGAGTACGTACCTCATTATTTGAGAAGGGATGGTTACCTTAGAGACAACTAGATGAAGAGATCTTGAAACCTTCAAAAATGGAGATGAGAACTCTTGAAATGAAAAGAGGAGAAAAAATGGGAATGGGGGTGAGAGAATAGCAAGGGATGGATGGGAGAAAGAAAGAGTGGGTGTGGGATGAGAGATGTTTGAAGGGATAAAAAATGGTAAAAATAGGAAGGCTTTTATATGGGGTACAAATTGGGGTAGGATTGGGGTACCTATAGTATTTTTGTTTTACTCATATTAAGAAAAAAATAATTTTGATAAGTTGTGTATAAGCCATAAAGTCCGCTGGGAGACTTGTACTCTCTCCAGTCATTATTAAACTTTACACTTTGACTTCACACACTGTTTGACACTGTTTGGCACTGTTTAGCACTGTTTGGTGTAGATTTGTTTGTCAAATAAGGCAAATAAGAAAGTGTAAAGTTTAATATGGCACAGCCCGAAAAGGAAAGTGTAAAGTTAATTAAGGACCGGAGGGAGTATATGATTATCATATTTTATATAATTTTGTATCCAAAAATACCATTGATCAAATTTGACTATCATGAATTAATAATAATCAAAATGACCAAATCTTATAGAGAGGAGGGATTATGAGATAAATCTAGTAGACTTTATGAAAAAATGAGAAAAATATAGAGGATTAGAGAAAATAAAATTTTACTCAAGTTATCTAGGGTGGATCCAATTGAGTTGGGTGGAACTCAAATGTTATTACACTAAGGACATTTATTATTGAGCTAAAGTTTTCTCGCATAGTTTGGAAATGTTTATTTTATGTGTATTTTAAAATGTCGAAGTCTGATCTAATATGTTTAAGTTGGATCTGATTTAGTCTAAACTGAAATCATTTTAATTAAAAACATTTTGTTGAAGTTTATTCCTTCAACCCGTAGGTCCAACACACGACCCAAGGGTTTCGAATGGAAGAAGTATCGAAGTAGATGTAGAAACAAGCAAGAAGGACCCAATAAGAGATCTTAATACACTGAAAGGGTTACAAAGCTGAGAGGCCGTTCGTACAGAGCTATGCTACGAGCTGCTATGAATGCTAGAATGTTAGAGTGATAAGTTGTCAACCCCTTACAATGAAATAAATGATATTATTTATACCGTCAATGGGTAGTTGGATGCGTTGACATGGCGGATTGTGGATGGGTTAAACCTAACCACCAAATCTTCTGCATTAAATGCGCTTCCCGCCAGGATCTTGGCTTCCCGCCAAAGGGTGGGGACGTTCGTCCCCATGAGCTTGCCTCCTGTTTCCTGTTGGGTCCAAAGTCCTGCGAGACATGCGTCAACAGCTGCCCTTGGGTTAAAGCACCCGCCTATGCTAGAATATGGACGCCTCCTGGGCCTTGATGTTGAGGCTTGGCCCTATCGGAGACGAACCTCGTCAGGATAAGCAGAAAGGTAACTCGTTGTTTCGTGCCTTCTGGGGATGTTCGTAGGGCGGGCCTTGAGGGTTTTATGGGCCAACCCCCACTAGGCCATTAACCCAACACAAGTCCCCCACTCCTGATGTTCCGAGCGTGCGCGAGACATAAGGAAGTAGAATTGAATCCGACGTACGTCGCCAGCTAATACCCTTGGCGCCTCCCAAGTCGATGAGCCACTCTGTGTCCCGTGGCACCTCCCAAGTCGATGAGCCCCTCCGTGTCTCCTGACGTACGTCCCCTGACGGTTGTCCTTGGAATGCAGCTATCTCGTTTCCGGGTTTGGTACCATGGGGCCGAACGTCTCCTATGGGGACAGACCTCTCCTCTTCCTTGGGCTGTTTCCAGGGGGTCTCACCGTCCGGGGGGCCTTGAAGTAAAACTGCTTCCGTCGTACTGCCTTCAGCCGATGCCCCTGACGCGACGGTTGCATGCTATATTCTGGATCTCCAAACGTCTCTGTACCCGGCCATCTATGTGAACGGGCCTTGGTGGCCCGTTGGGGACGTACGTCTTCCCGTCTAGAGGGAGGGTATTCTCTGTTGTTTGCCTCTAGGGACGTTCGTAGGGTGATTAACCCAACACAAGTCCCCCAGTTTCTTGAGTAGTGAGCACGCGAATCTGCTTGAGAGTATACTCTTGCCCGTGCTCGTCCTCTGTCTTCATTGGCATATGTGTGAGGGCTTGGGCCGTTCAGTCCCTGAATGCCCGACTCAACTTCCTTCGGACATTCGATTCCTAGAACCTCGGCCTTGATATATCCAACTTCGTCATGCACGACCCGGGGGTGTCCCGACCTCATCATGCTAAGCATCAATCCTCGCCCCAAGTTCCTAGAGATGTTCGCCCTCCAGGATTTTCCTTCTGGATGCTCGGCTCGACATGCTTAGCAAGATCGGCCCCTAAAGACCCAACTCAGCTTTCTTTGGACGTTTGACCCCTAGAACCTCGGCCTAGGATTGTCTAGCCTCGTCATGCATGACCCGGGGGCGCCCCGACCTCTTCATACTCAGCGACAATCCTCGGCCCGAATTCCTAGAGATGTTCGACCTCCGAAATTTTCCTTCTGGATGCTCGGCTGAACATGCTTATGAAGGTCGGTCCCTAAAGACCCAACTCGGCTTCCTTTGGACGTTCGGCCCCTAGAACCTCGGCCTACGATTGTCCAGCCTCGTCATGCACGACCCGGGGGGCGCCCCAACCTCGTCATACTCAGCGACAATCCTCGGCCCGAGTTCCTAGAGATGTTCGCCCTCCAGAATTTTCCTTCTGGATGCTCGGCTCGACATACTTGGGAAGACCGGTCCCTCAAAACCCGAATCCGTTTCCTTTGGATGTTCGACCCCTAGAACCTCGGCCTAGGATTGTCCAGCTTCGTCATGCACAACCCGAGGGCGCCCCGACCTCATCATACTCAGCGACAACCCTCGGCCTGAATTCTTACGGACGTTCGACCTCCGGATGCTAGGCTGGGCCTCCTTGAGACATTATGACTTCGATTCACTCAGCCTTGGCAGGATTAATCTCTCGATATACTGTGCGTCTCACGGCCCTCGGCCGTGAGGGTCATCTCGTGGCCCTTGACCTCTTCGTGGATGATGCTTATCGCCATACCCTCGGCTTCTGAAGTGGAGATGCTCATCTCTGCTCCGATAGTCCTCCCCAAGATTCATTTTGAGCATCCTCCTTTATCCGTCGTCCCGATCATGACCTTTATCTGCGGAGGGAGCCTGACCCCACTAGACACGTTGGCGTTGAGGGGCCAATCGTACTGCATAAGACGGTGGTCGCCATCCTGGAAGGTATGGACGAGCCGACCGTGAGCGAGATACGATGGCGCTGAGGGGCCAATCGTACTGCATAAGATGGTGGTCGTCATCCTGGGAGGCATGGATGAGCCGAGCGTGAGCGGGATATGATGGTGCTGAGGGGCCGATCGTACTGCATAAGACGGTGGTCGTCATCCTGGAAGGTATGGACGAGCCGACTGTGAGCGGGATACGATGGCGCTGAGGGGCCGATCGTACCGCGGATGGTAATCATCTCATGCCAGGAAAATGGTTCCAGATGCGTCCATACTCGACATTCATCTTGTGGTGGGTATGAACGTCCCCAGGCAAATGGTTCCAGGTGCGCTGGCTGGCCGCCCCAGGTGCCCCGAGTATTGGAGCCGTACGTCGCCACTGTGGGGATGATTGGCCTTTTGGCAGGCAATTTTTGCTTTTTGAACGTCACTTTCCTCCCCCCTTTGATCCTAAAGCTGTTGGGTTCAATGCATCTTTCATCGAAGCTCATGAAGGGGATCTGAAGTACCTTGAGGAAAAGCAGGAGGAGGGCGAGCGGAAGCGCGTTGAGGAGGCTAAGGGCAACCGACGATTCCTCCAGGCAACAGTCAAGTTTGATTCTTCCCTTGTATCCTCCTTGGTGTATCTCTTTTGTTCTGATTTGCCTTC